TGACTGTTCTGAATCATCATTAAATTAGTCAGCATCTATTTTACAACCTTTTACCGAACAACTGTGTGCCAGGCACTGTGCTGAAGCTTTCTTCCAGTAACAAAACTGTACTTTTGGCAGGTACTTTTTCATGAAGTTTGTGACAAGGATGGCTTTTTACTACTCAAAAACTACTGAAAATTCAATTTACAGCAGAAAGGCATAGGCTATGAGTAAACACCAGTCTAAAAAGCTTAATGCCTATTTTTGTATCATTAAATTGCCACTCATTTTAAATACAGGCATACTGCTCTTTCAGACTAGAATGTGTAAGAAGTTGTAACTAAAATACAACCTTACACAAAACACAAAGAAATGAGAGCTTCTATTTTTACATAGGACAATAAGATCAAAGCAGACTATAGCACTGCAACCTTATCTGTTTAGTCTGTTTTCATTTTAAGGAAGCAAATTTAATGGCTGTGGCATTTCATGTAAATACACTATAGTAAAATTGCAAATATGAAAAAATGAAACATTTCATGAAATAATCAAATATGATGACACAACTGCTAGATCAATGACTAATTAAAGAGAGAAAATCTGTAAGGATGACTCAACATTATAGGAACTCTAAAAGAGAATGACTTAACTATCCAAGGATTAAGATGTTCTTAGAAAACTCCTTAAGCTCTTGGTAAAATTGATCATGCTTTAAAAAAATATAAAACATGTCTAATACAACATAAGAAAAGTAAAGTGCCTCGAAATTTGATTCTTTGTTTAATCTAAAAATTAATGCACAGCTGAAATTATACCTCAATATTTAAAAAGAAACACCATCATTTTGTTTCAAAATTTCTCAGGGTTAACTATAAATTTCCATTCCTTTCTTTAAAAGTGGCTTCAATTTTAAGGGTTCTTTTTATGGTACCAGTTATATATGAATAGATTTTACCACTATTTTAAGAGTGGATCTGGTTGCATTTTTAAAAACTTTTTATGGACATATAATATATATACAAAAACATGCACTACTGTATGACTCAAGTTATCCATGCAGTCAGTACCCAAATTCAAAAGAAAGAACAGTATCCACACCCCAGAAATCCCTTTTTCCTTTCTTCCAGTCACTACCCTTCCCCTCACAACGGCAAGCATCATCCCGACTCCCAGCAGTTTTGCTTTTGTGCTTCATACTAGTGGCATTACACAGTATGTGCTCTTTTGTGTCTGGCTTCTTTCACACATTAGCCTCATGATTTTGTTGCAAGTAGTCCTAACAAATTCATTTTCGTTATTGCATAGCATCTATGTGAATATACCACAATTTCATCTATTCTAGTGCTGATGGGCATTTGAGCAGTGCCCTGCTTTTGGCTATTATAGTGCTGGTATAGACTTCTATGAATGCATGTCTTTTGGTGAACAGATGAGTGCATTTCTGTTGGATTTATATCTGAAGAGTGGAACTGCTAGGTCCTAGGTAGGGTATGTTAAGTTTAGAACCACCAAACAGTTTTCTAAAGTGTTTATACTATTACTCTTTTCATCAATAGTTGTAATTGCTCTACATCTCTGATGCTTGGTATCTTCTTTTCCATTTTAGCCTTTCTGGGGACATGTAGTGGTGTGATATTGTGGGTTTAATTGCATTTCTGATGATTAATGAAGCAGAGAACCTTTTTATGTTTATTGGCCATTTGGATAGTTTTCTCTGTAAATTTTTAGTAAGTCTTTTATTTTGGGAAAAAGTCCTTTGTTGCATGTATCTGTATCTGGATTGTTGGACATATGTCTTCAACTCTGTTGCCTTCTCTTTCATGTCTTTTGAGGAATTAAAAGTTCTTAATTCTAGTATGATAGAATTAATCAATGTTTTCCCTTTGTATGGTTAGTGTTGTGTCCTGTTTAAAAATATTCTTGCCTACTCCAATGTCACAAGTATCTTTTCTTCCCCTCAAAGCTTCATTCAATCTTTCACATTTAGATTTGCAACCTGTTTGGAAGTAATTTTGTGTATGGTGTAAGGTAAAAGCAAAAATATATTCTTTTCCTATATGAATATCCAATTGACCCAGCAACATACATTGAAAAGATCATTCTTTTCTTACTGCACTGCAGTGTCACCTTTGTCATAAATCAAGTGACCACTCGTGCAGGTCTGTTTCTTAGACTCTTTTTCTCTTGATTGGTCGGTCTATTCTGTCAATACCACTTTTTGTGATTACTATAGCTGTATGGTAGCAACATGGTTATAAGTGATTATAACTTCCAATGACACGATCGGAAGGCAAAGTCTCAAAGCCTGAATTTAAATCTTCTGGATAATTCAGTTATACCTTACATATATTCTACTGATGCAAAGAAGGGAGGGCAAAGAAAAGTTATGAAAAAGTTTAAAATATGTTGGCTAGTATGAGAATGAAGATTATTACTGTATTTTTAAGTTTATTATGGAATTGGATGCCTACTTTCCAGATATGGGAGGAACAAAGACAGCAAAAATACAAAAGAACTGTGTACAAGTATCAAGTGCAAAATGGTGTGGTGTAAACTAAGTGCTATACAAATGAAGGGGAAAGAAAGACCAGTGAGAGATGGAGTAGTTATGAGAGCCTTCAGAGGAAGTGGAGTTTGGAAGAATCCTTGAATTTATTTGAGCCAGATTAGGACATTCTTAATGCAGAACATTAGAGACTTCATTTTTGTTTCCTATATATCCTTAATGCATTACATCCATTATCATATCCTGCTCTTACTTCTTTAGACGCCTCTTTAACTTCTATTACTGAGTTTCAAAACAGATTAATGGTTTTAATCCTGACTGTACATCTGCATTACCTGGGAGCTTTTAAAAAATAATGATGCCCAAGCCTCTTCACATCATCAGTATGTTTAAATGCATTCCCACCTGATTCAAATGTACAGCTGAAGCTGAGGACCGCTGAATTAGGATGTACATTTAATCAGTGGTTCTCAACTGGGGATAGGATACTGTCAAATAAAATACAGAACACTTAAATTTTTTGCTCCCCAGGGGAAATTTGGCAATTGTTGGAGATATTTTTTGTCATGACCAGGGTTGCAACTGGCAACTAGAGGATGGAGGCCAAGAGTGCTGTTAGACATCCTAAAATGCATGTGACATCTCCCAGAACAAAGAATTTTTGTCTGGTTCAAAATGTCAATAGTGCTGGGCTGGATAAATACTGCTTTGGAGCAACAAGAGACACAGTCATAAAAAGAGGAAATAGAGTTGGAACTAAAAGCAGAATTTTGTTCAAATGTGTAAGGATTATATTGCTGTCACAAGTGACAGAAGCCCAAGAAATAAAGGTTTTAAATTTGAAGCCAGAGAACTACTGTGTGAAGTACAGCATTTATAACTGAATTTTTGATACAGGTTTCAGTATATTTTCAAAGAAAATTCAGAGCATGTAGAGTTCAATGGAATGAACTCACAAGGTTATCTATGAAATGTGGCAGCAGTATTACTTAACCTGGAAGTTAAATTCTGAGATTCTTTGATCTTGTTAATGACTATGAAGAGTCTCTCTCGGCATGTGTGTGCGTGTGTATGTATGTGTATATAAATATAAAAATATATAAAAAAAATATATCTCACAGTCAAGTTCCAGCACTGGGTCTTAACACTAGCTGTGGAACCTGATGCATGCTCCTACGCTTCCCATTTTGTCTACTATAAAATGAGGGATGTGGGTCAGATAATCTGAGAGACCACCTTCCAGCATTTAACTTCTATACACTAATTCCTAAGTTCTTGTCAAAATATAAATTTTACAACAAAAATATAATTTTCAGTGACAGGTCTAAAATCAATTTCAATGGCTCAGCCTTTCTTTAAAAGGTAACAAATTTTTGTCTAAGATGATAATTTTAACAATTCTTTCTTTATGAGGTCCTAATCAGATGAACATGATGAGATATACCTGCAATATTTTCTTACTACAGTACATAATGGTTAACTATTTTCTACTACTATCAGTAAGAATCCCTTGGGTTATATTTCCCAAACTTAAATCTTGCCATAACATTTCAAGGGAAAAAAAATCTCTAACTGGTGGTTACTGCTTCTCATGCTCTTGTTTCTGCAAATTCTGTTAGAAAGCAAGATGTTAAAAGGAGCCCCACCATCATATACCCTATGCCTCATATATTACAGTACATAGCCATAGCCACCTAAAGGGAGGAAGCATCCTTTCCAACCAGTAGATGGAACTCTAGAATTGTTAAAGCAAATGTTGAAATGTCAAAAACAAGGCTCACAGAATGGTGCAAGGTAGGAAATGCTGAATAAGCAACATGCACACTGGAAACAAGTGGTGCAAGGTAGTGGACCAAATAACTCTTTTGTGGAGCTATCCTTTGCATTGTAGGATGTTTAGTAGCATCCCTGGCCTGTACCTACTAGATGCCTATAGCACTCCCCTACCCCAAGTTGTGACAATCAAAAATACCTTCAGACATCACCAAATTTCCCAAGGGGCAAAACTGTTCCAATTCAGAACCACTGAGAAGGCAAAAGCTATGCAAACAGGCGATCTATAATTATGCACAGTAAGGGTTAATCTCACATTGCTGAGTGAAAGAAGCCAAAGTGAAGATCCTATATATGGTTTCACAAATATGAAGCATCAAAACAGACAAAACCAATTTATGCTGCAGGAAATCAGGATACTGGCTACTGGTGGGAAGGGCAAGCAAGAGGGAGTGCCTGAAAGACAGTAGGATGAGCCTATGAAATTCCACTAATGTTCAGTCTTGATTTGGGTGCTCCTTACACAGATGAAAATTTGAGTACCTATCCTTCAATAAATATTTCTCAAAATGCTACAGGAAATCACTATTTCATTTTTTTCATAATGAATGAAAAATTGTAGCTTACTGTTTGAATCATAAGCAACACTTATTATCAAGCTACATGTTAACTAAGCAGAGTTCTAAATGGAAATTGTAAACGAAATTAAAAAGTTGATCATCCCGTGTTCATTTAAAAAAACAAGAATTTAATTAAAAAATACAGAAAAATCCATTTTAATTTACTCATTTGGTGAAGTTACTTGTTCATCTGAGATTTATCTCTATATCGACTGATACAAGATTCACAAATCAAAGATGATTCTAAGTTTAAAATGCTGTAAAAACAAGCTCCATCCACATGAGGTATTTCCGTAGAGTACTACATTTTCCATCTATTGCTAAAATTGGAGGAATATGATTTAGCAGCTGAGGCACAGTTTTGTCTGAAAATAAACTACATTTACCCGTCTCAACCGAGGAGTTAAGAATTATTTTTTCAGCATGTATACAGATGAGATTGATACTCTTCTGTATGTAAAGATGTAGTATTATTCTTAGTCTTCTTTTCCTGCACATACATTTTTCAAAGTGATACTCAGACGAGTACCAGGACACTTGACAGGTAATAAAGAAAAAAGAAAATTAAAAAAAGTTAAATCTACACTGAATCCAGAATTCTCAATTGTATTTATTTAAAAAAAAAAAACTTTAAAAAGATAAATATTTTAGTTTCTTAGGAATCTTTAAGAACTATATTTTTAAGATTCTGCAATGAAAAAATACATATCATAACCAAATGTATGATTTATTTTTGGAGAAAATTAAAACAGGTTTTTCCAATAAAGGGGAGAAATAACAATATGAGATCATACCCTGGTCACATGTTAATTAATTACCACATTCTGTACAATGTGGATGTGCTCAACATGTATTTAATGATAATATGAACGAACATCTGAAATTTAAAAATCACAAACCACTTGCCAATATTGTGAATTCACAAATGTTGAAATAAATACCTACAAGTAAGAAAATTTTAAAATTTGAAACTTTACAATGTTTATAGCTCATCCCAAGTGATACAAATCATAGAGCAAATAAATTGCCATTACTGCTAGTTTCCACTTAATTTCTTCATAATTTGGCTGTCTGGTGTTGCATTAGTAAAGATACTTCCCACAACCACATGGGTACCCCAGAGACTGTGACGAATCACTTTACAGCAGCCGAGATCATCAACAGAGAATCCTAAATGCCGATAGCGTTCATCTGTCTCAAAAAGAGTGTTGTTTGTATATGGTCCAAAAAACTGGAGGAAATAAAAAATGAAGTCATATTTTCATTAGCAAGAAAGATAATGGAGTAACAACTTTTATGCAAACATGAACACAGATCAATTTTAATACTCCAAATATTTAAAAGAGTTCTTATTAAGAAATAAAAACGTCACATGCAACACCTAACTGCCCTAACACCTCTTTCCCCCTGCGCATTCTGGAAATATGAAAGGAATGATCTAGCAGACTGCTTATTATCTAGAACCATATGCATAACATTACATGACCTTTAAAGATGAAATAAACTTTAGGCAGTCATCTATAGTTCACCTTCATAATTTTTAGGATAAGGAAACTAAAGCCCAAAGTGGAATTTTCATTTCTAGTACTAAGTCTTACGTGACTTTAAGAAACAGTATATACTCCTATTTTACGATTAAAAAAAATTTATTACTATTTGTAACTGAAAGATATAGCCAGAATTTAAAATGTGACCACAGTAGTGGTTCAGTTACTTTCTTTACAATGTAACTTTATAAATGCTAATTTCCAAAAAGTTACTTTTTTCTAAATATTTCTTTACCATCCATATTTCCTTAATTCTAAAAACAGTTGTTTTTCAGTGAAACTACTGATTGCTAATTTTAAACTAATGGACAGTAAACACACTAATTCAGTGTAATTCAAATAATATCTACTAGCAAGGATGGAAAACAATAAACGCTTTTATTATTCTTAATTAAAGAAACTTAGTGATAGAGAAACGACGAGTGATAGAGGTCCCTCAAAGTTATGAATGCAACTGACTCTTGCTACTTCTAAGCATAAAACTGTGAGGTTTTAAAAGAGTCTTAAATGATTTAATTTTGCTAAGGTTATAATTATAAACAATTTTAATAAAGATCATTCCTACTTCAAATTATATAATCTGGCTTTCAAAATGTATTTCGTTACTCACTGCCAAACCAGACGATGGGTCAATAAAGTCAGCCCAATAGCCTTCCGCCCGAAGAGCATAGCAAATCTCCTTAGCACCGCTGATGAACTGCACAGAAGAGGACACAAATATATGCTCAAGACAGCATTGCTACAGACTGTTTTATTTTTCAATACATTTTAAAATAAATCTTTTGCTTCAGATAGAGAATACAGTAAGATTCATAAAAAATTAAAGCTAATGATAAATTAAGACTGTGAAGTCCTAAGATTATTTTCACCAGTTCAAAACATTATTGGTTTATACAACACTTTCATTTCTTTTAAAAGGTCCAAATTGTATATTTTTTCCTTCTAACTTCTCTCCTATTTTAGAAACTATTTTAAATCACTTCTGTGCTATTAACTCTCAAATTTGGCATGGATTATAAACTGTAATTGCTATTTTTCTCATTAGGGAGATATTAGAAATAAGGTAAGAAAAGGAAAACAAAATAGTCATAATGAAAAGATCTGAGCCACATATTCATTTGAATGAAAGTTGTTTAAAAACATGTTCTTGTTTGTGTGTTCTTGAAAAACACATTTATGCACTCACACAGTCATGAAATAATTCTGAAAAGGCACATAAAAATAACAGGATAAATGGATAGATTAGGTACAGAGCTTAACAGGATACTTACTTTTCACTATACACCTCTCTGTATTTTTTGTACAGTATATAAACATTACAGGCCACGAGCATTTATTACCTATTCAAAATCTTGGTCTTAATTCTGAATTCTTATGATGTCTATATTAGTTTTACCAGAAGTCTAAGCAGTGAAATAGATCAGTAACAAATATTAGAACCAGATTAGGATGTTAAGGGAAAAAAAAAAAAGGACAGAACATAAATGTTTAAAAGCAAGGGTACAGTTCCATCAAACATGCCACATGCTGAAAACTATAAAACTGACCAAAACTACAAAACTGGCAACTGTTTTTAAACACTGAACAACAGTTAGACAAAACTGTAATCTTTGAGAGAAGGGAAACATAAGGTGATCCCCATATATGCTCTAGTCTTCCGTATGGGGACACTTCATAGTCGTAGGGCAAAGAAGTGGGGCCCAAGCAAAGTGATAGCGTCACTGAGCTGAGGAGGTAGAAAGCAAGAGTTCTGCACTGTTGAAGCACCTAGCATTTGTTGGGTAGGGTACTAGAGAAGAGGGAGGTGCATGAATGGGGCTCTCAAGTGGTCTGCAGAGCAATCTGCCTTGGTTCAGTAGTGAAGGGTTGAGCTGTGCACACACAAGGAGAAATTCCTTAAGGTCTAGCACAGTGCCAGTGGTGAGGCTAAGAGCTGAATGGTGCTATCGGGGTGGTACGGTGCTGGGTAACATGAATCTCTAGCCCATCCAGAGTGATGAGACTTCACTAAGCAACTCAGGCATTCAGCTGAGATCCTCGAAAGTCTAAGCCTTAGGCATAAGGGCCATATCCTAAATAAGGGGTTAGCAAGTGACAGCCTGAGGGCCAAATCTGGTTGGCAACCTGTTTGTGTAAACGTAGTTTAACTGAACATAGCCATGCCTTTTGATTTGTATACTGTGTAGGATTTCTTTAATAATACTAGGGTAGAATTGAGTAGTTGAGACCCTATGACCTGCAAAACCTAAAAATTTACCATCTGGCCCTTCATGGAAAAAGTTGGCTGATTCCTGATATAGAGATACACAACTTAAGCTAGACTATTTTCTCTGAATACAGGCATATCTCACTTTTTTGGACTTCATTTTATTATATTCACAGATCATGTGTTTTTTACAATTTGAAGGTTTGTGGAAACCCTGTGTCCAGCAAGTCTACTTGAGCCATTTTTCCAATAGCATTTGCTAACTTCATGTCTCTGTGTCACGTTTTGGTATAATTTTCTCAGTATTTTAAACTTTTTCATCTATTTTATTTGTTATGATAATCTGTAATTAGTGATCTATATTGATGTTACTACTATGACTTACTATGAAGGCTTAGATGATGGTTAAGATTTTTTAGCAATAAATTATTTTTTAATTAAGGTATCTACTTTTTTTAGGCATAATGCTATTACACACTTAATAGACTACAGTATAGTGAAAATATAACCTTTATATGCCCTGGAAAACCAAAAAATTTGTGTGACTCACTTTATTGTGATTTTTGTCTTATTATGATGATATGGAACTAAACTTGCAATATCTCCAAGGTATACCTGTACTTTCTTGTAAACTAATGAAAAACATTTAAATATATTGTATTCTTTAGGTTATCTTCATACTTAATACTTACACTTATTCCTGTATTTCATTAATGTTCATAATTCTTAAGATAGGAAAACTGAATATGGTCTAGAAAAGTCATTAGAATTATGTATCAATTTAATAAAAAAATGCCATACACAAAAACTACAAGATAAAACAATTAATTCAAATGTTTGCAAAAGTTAACAAAGAATCCTGAATGATCACAAAATGAACTAGTTTTTCTCTTAAAGTTTTCTTCTCATCAATAGCAAATACTGACATCGACTGGAAAAAACTAGATTAGATTTAAATCACAAAACATAAAACATCTACTTGGACAGTAAGCTATGTGTGGTTCTAAAATAATCACTAACATATCTAAAATAGGAAAATGTTTTTCTATAGAAAATAGAAGCTTTAGTCATTACAAAATTAAAAATCACATGATAAAGTATGTTGACATTTCAAAACCCTGAAACTGGTTACAGAAAAGCAACTTACAACTATACTAGGACCAGTATCAAATGAGGCTCTGAATCTCGAACAGATTAAAAATTAGGACTACTGATATATGTGAGTGAGCTCTCTAGCATCTAAATGATAGTGGTAAGTATACATTTACTAATCATTATCTTAATATAGAAATAGAAAATGTTTATTGAGTTATTGTGTATTTAAATTTCAACTCTCCAAATTCAGATCTTTAAAATCAGAGACAATGTCTTATGCCTTTCTGTAACTTCTGTTAACTAGCATATAACTTGCTCATGACTGTTAATTACTAAATGGAATCTGTTAGTAAAGCTATATGTGAAACATTTAAGTGTGAAGCCATTGTCATAAAATACTCTGTTCAATATATAAAATTTTTGTAAGAAGAGAGAACCATACATCCAACCCTGAAGAAAATACAAAGTAATTCCAAATATTATCCTGCATGTAAATTAGTAAAGAGAACTTTTTCAACTATAGTCGGCTAAGGTGTCCAAGTGAGTTAATCTTAACCTGTGACACAGGCAAAAGAAACCGATATAACCCAACATCAAACTCTAGATAAATAATTATATAATTTTAAAATATGACTTTAAATTACCACTTATCATTTCTCAGGTTGATAAAAATGAGAAGTAACGCTAATATCCAGGGTAAGGGTGACAGGATACACACTAGGACAGTCCTTTTTGTTGGCAAATTGGTGGTGTCTATCAAAACGTAAAATGATTCAGCAATTCCCTATTTAGGAATATATAGATATAAATATATGCATAAAAATATATTCACTGCCTGTAATAGCAAAAGTTTGATTTTCAACTTATAAATTACTAAAATGTTTTTAAATAATTAAAAAATTTATGGTTTGCCCATGCAATATGATATTATGCAGATTTTACAAAGAATGAAATATAATCTGTGTAATTCTATAGAAAGGTGTCAAAACTTATCTTCTGGTTAAAAGCAAAGGATGGGAAAATAATGTGGGTATATAACACTACTTTATTATTATTGTACTGTACACTGTTACTGTTTATTCCTTAGAGAAGGCTGAGGTACTTTTCACTTTTTACTTGACATGCTTTACAAAGAGAAGAAGAAAGGAGACATGGAGGGAGAGAAGAGAAGCAGAGAGACGAAGAGAGAGATGGGTACAAAGACTTAATGTAACTTTTTTGTTTACTGTATTTTCCAAATTTCCTAAAACAGACATAAATTAAAACAAACAAACAAAAACACATGGCATTTTTATTCTCAGAAAACATGTAAGTTCTTTAGTACTGAAATACTTAAGTAGAGAATAAAGGCTAGAAAAGACAGCCATCATTTTAAAACACTGGATCATTGGTATTTAAATAGGGTCATAAAATTAAATTGTCAGGAGTTGAATTACCTTTTCTAGGAGCATTTCTCTTTCATTTTCTACCTCCTCGCTCCAAACAGTCATATCATTTTTAGTTTTCTGTGTTACAGTCAGAATCATTAGTTTGTTGGTAGCTGCTTCTGGAAACAGTGATTCAAAATCTATAAATGAAATAAGAATAAAACTCCAGGAAAAAATAATGTTTTTTTAAAAAACAAGAAACAGTGCATAAAATACTTTAGAATAATGATTAAGTTAAATTATTATGGTACCCAGTTAGGTTTACAAATGTATATTATTTTTGAACAAGGATGAAATGAATTTAGTTTTGATTTACTTCTGTTCTTATTGGATGAACTGAATTATACTGCCAACAATTCTGAAGAGTAAGTTGGGTTACATGTTGTTGGTTTTGTAATTTAAAAAAAAGATTATTATTAAGATTTTTCTCAATAGTACTAATATATTAGCTCATGAAATTATAGCTGTAATAATCACCCAGGTGTGGGATGACTTCAGTGAAGGATTTACAAAAAAAGTAATTAAAAATTCTACTATTCCTATCTAATGGCAGCATGAGGTCAGATGTTTGGAGACATGTGAAAGTCTTTATCTTGGCCATGCAGTCATCATTTTCCAGCTACACATGTTAAAATATTAAGTTACAAAGCATTACAATTCCTATGGAGTACATTATTCAACACATTAAAAAAATCAGTGACATTATCTAACACACATTAGTATAAAAATATATAAAGCACAACATACCTCTTCGCAGCAATTCTGGACATGTTTGGATTGCACACTCTACTTTGGCACTTTCAAAGTAAGTTTCTGCACTGTTAATCTCTTGCTCAACAGGTGCATCACTACCCTAAGGGGAACAGGAAATAAAAGTAAACAAAATCTGGAGTTCAAATAAAGTATCTTCACTGTTATGAACCTGTTTTCCCTAAAGTGTTTTTAATAATTTTAATCTAGCTGGTGATGGAGGAATAGTGTTTTCTTCAAAATTTTCTCTGTGATGAATGTAAGATTTGAAAATTCTAAAAAAAATGTTGAATTAAAAAAGAACATATAAATATACTGATATTCTGAGACAATAGAAGTTGGCTAAGAAACTAAAATGTCATGATTTTGTCTTACAGTGTTACCTCTTCTGATATTTTGTGATATCTAATCACCCTTTCTTCTGTTCTGTAATCTGTAAAGTGAGGTAAAAACACTAACTTACAATATAACATGATTAAATATACAGCCTCTCCTATAGGAAGAGCTTAGAGGCTTTTATTCAACTGAAATTTACTGGGTGCCTATTACACATCAGACATTACGACAGAAGAAGGCACAACAATGGTTAAAAAAAAATCCAGTCTTCATTCTTAGGTATACAAGAAAAATAGCAACAAATAAATGCAATCCAATATGAAATGTGCTGTAGAGTTACGAAGAAAGTGTTCTGGAAGTACAGATGGGGAAGAAACTTGCTTGCTGGGAGAAATCGGGAAAAGGATGAAACAATTTTTGAGCTACATGTTAATTAAGTCATGTATCTGATAGGTAAAGAAGAGATGGAATATAGGTTAAGAATTAAGGAGAAAGAAAAAGTCCAGCAAGAGATAATCACAGTGCAAAGGCATGCAATGGTCAAAGAGAATGGTGTAATTTAAAAAAAATGAAAAATGCTGTGATTAGAGTGCAGGAGCAGGAAGTAATGGGAGGTAAAGTAAAGAAGATGAAGGATCAAAACTGTGGAGAGCCATTTATGCCACATCAAGAAAGTCTGATGTTAGTCTAAAAGCAGTGAGGAGTATCACAATCAGATATAAAAAGCTAATGACGTATTACTGTAGGAGATATATGGTAATGAGGAGGAGCAGGTGATAGACCAGCAGCAGCCAATATTTATTGATCACTTAGTGTATACATTCTCATATTTGATCCTCATAGCAACTTTGCAAGCTAGGGATTATTATCCTCATTTTACATATAAAGAAACAGAGGCTCAGAAAAGTTAAATAACTTTCTCAAGGACACAAAATTAAGTAAACAGCAGAGTTAATCTTTGAATACAGATTTATCCTATCTCCATAGTCTATCCAATTATAATGCCTCTAAGAACTGAAGTTAAGACAAGGCAGTTAAATTTTGGCAGTATTAGTGAGAATTGAAAGGACACAATTTAAGAGCTGCTTACAGAGAGGAAGCAATGTAATTCTGTGACTATTTCTGAGAGAAGTTAAGGTTGACACTATAATTTTTGGGACAGGAGGAGGATGACTAAGTCACTTATACCACTGATAATAAGGAAGTAAGAACAAGTTTCGAGAGAAATAAGGACTAATTCAGTATTAGACATGTAAAATCTGGGGACTTCTGAGATATCCAGATAACGATGTTTGGCAGGCAGTTAGTAATATAGGGCTAGAAATGTCAGAAATAGAAATAATAAATTAGGAAACATGAAAACGTAGCCTGTAGAGAAAGCCAAGGACTTAAGTGACCAGGGAGCAATTCACATGAGAAAATCAAGAACAGAAACATTTGGGAGATATCCTATAACTGGTAGACAGAGGAGGAGCCAAGAAGACTGAGAAGAAATTATCTCAGATAAAAATGCAGGGAAAGTCAATTGTGTCCCAGTGTTCGGTTATCCGATATAACCCTTAATTTTGAGGGATTGCCACTTTCAATACTATGGCTTTGAAACTATGCAGAAATATGAAAAATGGTAAAGGATCAGGGGTTTGACAGAAACTCTGAATTGCATCTAACTTTCCATTTGAGTAAGCAATGATGCAACACTAGTTTTACAACTCATTTAAAAAATTCATTATGCAATACCCCAGTTTAAAAAACTCATTTGGAAAAAAACCTCAGAAATTGTCGTTAAAAAAAAACTTATTTAACACTCTTCCTTTTTAGTCTACTGTATCTGAAGAATTTCAGAGATCTCCAAATTTTCTTAAGTTTCTAAATGGTTAGAGGAATAAAACTAGTTGGAATTTGGTCCATATATAAATTATAATTATCATTTATAAAAGTGAAACAGGAAATCTAAATTTCTAGTAAGTATAGAATTATTTATGTTTGAATAAACAGTTACTTAAACAGATCTTTTTGAAGAACATTTGATTACCTAAGAGACTGCAATCTAAAGTTAAGTGAAAAAATTATACAGGAAACACTATGTGTAGGACAATGCTGAGTTTTTAAAAGCTATAAGTATTCTTTTTGTATATATTGGTTTTTTTTATTTAACTTTTTCAATGAAAGTAACATACTCAAAGTTATCAGAAATTATTATAGCATTTAATAATTAGAAAAAAAGAATAAATGACATTAACAACTTACCTGAAATTCATTCACATATTGTGCCATTACAAACTCATGTCTTTCACTTGATAAAGGTTCTGCTAGAATATCAGGCAAAGTTTTATTAACCTGGCTTTTCTTCTGTGATGCAGTCCCATTGAGGTGACAATCAAACCCTATGTTCCCAGGAAGCTGGAATCTCTGATCCTGAGGTCCAAATGGTCCCATAGCTTCATCAGGCCATACTGTTCGAGAGCCTGAAGAGAAACAACAAAATGAGTCATTTTCTCCTTAACAGTTAAGTACATTGGTAAACTGAAAGAATATTCTTCTTCTAATTAGGTTTTTACCTAACCAACAGATCTGTGAAGTTTGCTTTCCTATGTGAATATAAAAGTTTTATGTCATTTCCAAAACATTAATCAAAGCAACCAGTTGTAAGCTCAAAGGTTAAGTCTGTTATTAGGAAAGGAGTCAATACAGTTCTGTAATCCATACTATGTAATGCTTGATATTCATTAGAAAGAATATGGTAAATCTTTACTGATAATGAACGAAGTCCAGGACATATTACGTTAAAAAAAAAAAAAGCTAAGCCAAAGAATAGCATTTTCACATTTATTTTCTATCCTCATATTTATGTTTTTAAATATAGAGGAAAGATTTGAAAAAAAAAAGATACCAGATTTAATAGTGGTTACCCTTGGGGAGGGGCATTGGCACAAATTATTAATGAACTGGGGAAAAAATACTGTATGAACCCAGTGAGACATAATGCCCTGTTTACCAGCCACACAAATTAATATAGATTAAATACTTATGGAAGAACAGACCACATTACTTTATTCACTTAAAATTTAAAAACATCCTAACATGTGAAAAATTTAAAAAGATCCAGAAAAAAAAATTCCATATCTATGACAGACATCACCCATCAGTCATGGAACTTTTTCCCACTGAACCCAGACACTATCACATAATTCTCAATCCAAACACTAGCCCAGTATGTCTCAAACTTTAAGTACTTAAGAATCATCTAAGATCTTCACAAAATGTAGATTCTGATTTAGTAGGTCTTGAGTGGGGCTCAAAATTCTTTGTTCCTAAATGTCAGATGATGTTGATGTTATCCTATGCTGGTCTGCAGATCATACTGAGTAACAAGGCTCCAGACGTAGCCACTAATGATTGACTAGAGGCAGTTCGCAAGCTAAAACTTATCAGCTATTTTTGAACAACAAGGGTTTTAAAGACTCTTCAGATCTGTTTCTTTAAATAAATATCCAATATTAATAGTGGGATTGAGAATATTTTCAAATGTTTACTGGTCATTTAAGTTTTCGCATACAGAAGTAGCCTGTTCAGATTCATTTTTGAAATTTTTGTTTGGTTTTCTACTGGGTGGTCTTTTTTCTATTGATCTACAAAAATTCTTTATATAGTTGTCCCTAGGTATTCACAGGGGATTGGTTCCTGGACCCCCTCCAAATACCAAAATCAGCATGTGCTCAAGTCCCTTATGTAAAAGGGCACAGTTTAGTTGACCTTTGAACAACTCAGGGGTGAGGGGTACTGACTCTGCATGCAGTCAGACACCTGAGTATAATCTGTAGTCAGTTCACTGTATAGTTGCTTCTGTACTGGCAGTTCCATGTCCTCATATTCATTGAACCAAGAACTGTGTAGTACTGTAGTTATTAGTGAAAAAAATCTGTGTATAAGTGGACTTGTGCACTTCAAACTCCTGTTGTTCAAGAGTCAACCGTATGTGCATAAATGCAGCCTACATACATCCTCCTGTATATTTTAAATCATCTCTAGATTACTTATAATATCTAACACAATGTAAATGATATGTGAATAGTTGCTGGTGTGTGACAAATTCAAGTTTTGCTTTTTGGAACCTTCTGCAACTTTTTTTCCCCAAATATTTTCAATTCCTGATTGGCTGAATCTGAAGATGTGGAACCCATGAAGAGAGAAGGCCGGCTGTATATCCACAATACAAACCATTATATTCTGAATAATAAATCCTTCATTTATGATACATATATGTTTAGTCTTCAATTCTTGAAAATTGAGGAGTAATCAGAGATGGAGTTATAAAAGAAAACTGGGGCAAGAAAACCAGGGAAGGCTTTGCATGCCAAAGTGAACTTACATTGTAAGTAATGTGTTGCATGAAAAAAGGATTCCACGGGCAATCCTTTTAGGATACATTAGGTAAAGTTTCTAAGAGCCTTCCCTTAACATTTTAGTGTGCATTATAAACCTCTAAGACAGGAAGGGCTATGGCAAAAGTATTTCTCAAACTTAACTAATCACAGAACTTTAAAAGAAAATTTTTTATAGACCTTGAACAGTGATCCATAGTTTAAGGATTGTTTAGGAACTGCTACTGAAATCAGTGGGAGACAGTCAAGGTTTATCAAGAAGTGACATGATTAAAGTATCTTAGAATGATTATTATGATAGTGGTGTACAAAATGAATTAGAAAAAACAGACTATGATTCAATAAACAGTAGTATAATGAAAAGTACTAGCTACATTTAAGAAATTCAGCAAAGAATGGCAAGAAGTAGTAATGCAGTTTAGTAGGACCAAAAGATTTGTTTCAGGGAACTGTGTTTTTGAAGATAATTACGAAGAAACTAAAGTTCAAGAAAATAAGTTTTAAAAAACAATATTCACTCTTTTTTTAAATATTGTAGATTTCTGGTATATTTAGGCAGAGCCCTGATTTTATTTTCAATGGGATAAACTAAACTTTAGAAAAATCAGTAAAACCTCAGGAAGAAATATTACAGGAAACACACCTCAAAATGTTATGAAACAATTATAAGTAAAGTAATAATAACTTCTACTTACATATATCTGGAGGTGCAGTGGCCACATGAGACTCATCAGAACCTGAAGATCCTGCAGTTGAAAAGGCTCTGGGATTGACAACCCTTTTAACTAAAGAGCAAAATCCTGGGAGATAGGAAACCAGTCTGGCTCTGTTACAGAGCACCTAAGAATGATACAAAAATTAAAATTATTCAGGATATAAACGTTATACTGACACAGACAATCTCTGGCAAATTCTCATATTGCAATGTATCTTCTAAAATCAACATTTATTCTACTATTATTGAGCACCTACCACATGACAAGATCATGCATATTTATAATTTTAAACATTTATATTTTAAAAAATAAACAGGAATATTAAAAAAGCAAATAATAAATTACCACGGCTAAAAATATATGGCTTTTCCAACAAACACCAGAATGAAGAGTGCCACACAAAGAGAAAAGAAACCTCTAAAAGGTGCCCTATTTAGCAACAACACTAAAATGGTAGCACAACTATTAAGATTCTTCTATTCTCAAAATAAAGAACTCTCAAAATCTTTCCTAGGACCACAATCTACTTTCTAACTCTTCTCTTCTTTTACTGCTACAAATTGTACTAGTTTATCTCCCATGTCATTTTTCCTTTTGGTTTTATGGCAATGTTCACTTTCCTCCATTTTAGCACACATCTTTGTGATACATTTTCTGCTTCTCTGTCCATTTCCTAGACTCTTGAGGTCAGTTACCATGGACGAATGAATCTTTCATGCATAAACTTTCATCGAAAATACTTGGGTCAGAATAATTTAATGCCTCCTATCTTTTTCAGTGAATGAAGTTTGACTGTAACACTGCCACACCCATTTATTTCTGTATTGTCTATGGCTGCTTTCATGTCCTTATGGTGGAGTTAAGTCGTTGCACAGAGACTCTATGGCTTACAAAGCCTAAAATATTTGCTATTTGGTCCTTTAAGAAAAATGCTGACTCTTAGATTAGTGAAAAACATCTAAGAACAAACACTGTATCACCTGTCAAATGCTATTAAAAGATTTGAAAAATTAAGAGATTCTTGAGGGAACAGGAAAAAGTTTCATGGAGGATATACTAAATTTTGAAGTAATAGCAGAAATTTGCCAGGGAAAGGGGCATTTCAGTGAGTCACTTTCAGGAACAAAAGTATGGAGTCATAAAAGATATATTCAGAAAACTGACAAGTTCACTGAAGGTAGATATAATAAGTAGTATAGTGCAAAACAGGCTTCAGAGTTAACTTGTGGGCAACTGTAACAGGCTTTATACCTGATACAGACAGTAAAGGGCCTATTAAATGAAGATAACAACTCAGAATTTTAATCTGTAGGCAGGGAGGAACAGAGTTAAGCTGATAAAATTAAAGGATATGTTAAGGAATGTACCACTAAGGGCAGCATAGAGAATGGACTGGAATGGGATTAGAGTGGTATGAAAACTAATTACCAGGACGTTGAAACAGTCTAGGCTTTTAATACTTTACAACCATTCTTTTTCCAGTTCATACAGTATTCTGAAATCCAACCCGTGTGTACTTTATGACTTTATTTCTCATGCTAAGTGCAAAAAAAATCCTAACTGGTCTGTCTACATCTCTGACATAATTTCTTTCAATTTTACCCTTCCTTCCCTTATTCCACTCTTAAGCCACATAGCAATATCTACCCAACATTTCCCATATTTCTCTGCCTTCTTTTAAACTGCCACAATATTTCTTCTGCTAAAACGCCCTTTTCCCTCTCCTTCTAGGCCTGGCAAATTCCAACTCCTTCTTCTAGATTCAGAAAAACAGAACCTCCCTGTTTCCAGAGCATTCTGCCCACCTCAAAATTCAAGCATCCTTCCTTGGGTCTGTACCCAACCTGCTCAAAGAGACAAAAATGGTAATTTTAAGTGGTATATAGAAATTTGAATTGGATATCCACATTGAGCAATTGTGATATCTCACACAAAAGAGGCAGATTTTTGGCTGTTCTTAAAAACTCTTAATATCTTGTAGCACTGATTCACATTCCCAAATGACATTAGTTGGCAACACATCACTGTAGCAGAAATGAGTTACTTCAGTTTGTACAAGTCCCCACCACGGCCTCTTAATTTACCTGTCTAGCTGCTGAAGCATGGACCTTTCTGGCCCTTGCTGTACATGCTAACTGAACTGTTAAAGACACATGTACCTGCATATTTAATTACCAAAGTACATTCAGTGTTTACAACGCATATAAACTAACATAAGTTTTTAAAAGTATATTTGAATATTATTTTATGTAAAATTCTAACAATAAAAGAATTAAAAAGCATATTTCAAAATATTCATCTTACTGATCTAATTTATTCATTCAAATCAAAATAGAGCCAATTCAAATATTAACATACTAATCTCATTCCTTTGAGTGTAGCAGCACATACTTCTTTCACAACATTTCCTTCCTATGATTATGGCTAGGTAAAAATTCAGCTTAAAACATGGGCTAGACTAGTGGTCAATTTTTATGACTTGGTCTATGGTCTCACCATTAGACTATTACTTAACAGGAATACTCTCCAGGCTAACTGTTGCCATATCCGTATCAGTCTTCCCAACACACAGCTCTAATTAAACCACCAAAATACAAAGAATAAAGTCCAAACTACTGAGTTTGGCATTCAAGACTGTTACTTGGTCCCAAATAAACCAGCCAACCTTATTTTCCACTAACGTCTTTCACACATCTAACATTCAGGAGAACAGAACCTACATCTTGATTTTTGAAACGGAGGATGAATATATCTCTTGTTCTCCCCACCCAAACCTCAGAAGACCTAAATCCCACCCATCTTTCAAAACCAAAACTAAATGCTTCTCTGATTAAGTGAACCGAAACCCCTACTTTTCCTCTCCACAAAGCTCTGAATCTGCATTGTGCCTTTGTGTAGCTTTTATGAAATTATCAGCGCCTACTTTTATGGTAACTGTTTTCATATGTCTCATGCCCCCTACTATATGAACTCTTTACGGCAAGTAATTACTGGACAGTCACTATGAATAATCTCTCTTGCTCTCATTTTGTAGTATTTGGAAGGCTACTTCCTATACTGAAACGGCTCCAAACCTCCAGTTTACCTAAACAAAGAAATAGAACACAGCTTAAAAAATAGATTCTAAATATTTCCTGAAATAATGTACTTTAAAAATATTAAAAAAGGATGCTGGCACTGAATTTATTTCTAAAAACATATTTGTAGAAATAAACGTGTATTTAGAAATATGTTTGTGTTCAAACTGTCTTCAAACCGTATTGACCTAATTTCACACCCATTACGTCCCTTGACATTTTTGATACTCAATATGAAACATTATGCCACCAGTGA